ACAGATCACCAGTCCAGGTGGGATGCGTGAGACAAGTGCTCGGGCCTGGTGCACTGGGAAGACCCAGACGAATCGGGTAGAGAGGGAGGTGGGAGGGGGGATCGGGATGGGGAATACATGTAACTCCATGGCTGATTCATGTCAATGTATGACAAAACCCACTGCAATGTTGTGAAGTAATTAGCCTCCAACTAATAAAAATAAATGAAAAAAAATTAAAAAAAAAAAAAACAGAAAAAGACTTTGTCCATACTCTAGTAAACACAGAGGGCAGGTCAGCAGAATCTTAGTTATTAAGGTTGATGGTGGTAGTTACCATAGCAGTTCCCAACCAGTTCCCAGTGCTGGGGAGACAGCAGAAATTGTCACCTGAATTATTAGGATGTCCCAGAGACTCAGCAATAAACCCATCCAAACTGCCTCTTTAGTTTTTGGAAGTGGTATGAAAGTTATTTTAAAAAATAAAAGAAATCTATCTAAGTTTCTTTAATGACTAACTCTACCTCTGAAACATATCTTATCTAAATAAGCAAGTAATCTTTTCCTTAGGGTCCTGCAAACGATTTATTTCACTAAGACTTATACAGCAAAAAGAAGAAAGAAATAATATATAATACATGTCTCAATTGCTGTTGGGGATTTCTGTTTACATTAGTAACTGAAGTGAGTATTGATAGGTTGTAAACGAAAGTACAGACCTGACAATTGTCCTCACTTGATGATTTCCTGCCTTCCCCTGGATCTAGCCCTTTCTCATGAGCTTAAGTAGAGACAAGCATCTGTTCTATGATTATACCGGAAACTGTGCACATCAGTCTAACCATTACCCTTTGGAAAACTTTTTTAAATGTATCACTTCCCATCAGGTTAATTTCAACTTTGAGTTGAGAAGCATTAAATAAATCATGGGTGTCTTAAGGTTAACTCAAAAGGAAGCATCTAGGTTTTACATGGCATGATTAAGACTGCCCTCTGTTGGAAGAGAAGAAAAAAAGAGGAAATTGCAGTGCTATGGGAATTACCTTGCTATGATTCTTTTCCCCATGTATCTAAAGTGAGACAAACATACTCTAGTAAGAAAAACAGTAGCATGTTAGTACTATGTTACCATACTTTGCATTTTAACAAATAATATTTGAAAATTCATGTGTTACAAAGAATGGCCTATTTAAAATCATATTACAATAAAATGTTTTGGTAGACACAAATAAATATACAAACAACCACCTGCCATATTATATCACTCTACATTCATTTGCTACAATTACTTCAGCACCAAAAAGTCTCAGGTCTTCACATACAACTCTAATGACATATTTTTAAAACATATCAAAGCAAATCATCCTTCATGCTTGGATTAAGGATGAAGGATACACACTGTAGTGTGTATCACAGCAAAGGTCTCTAATATAATCATTAACACCTAAAAAGGTTCTTAAGCCATAAAAATTGTGGAAATTGCTATATTTTTATAGTGACATTAAACTACTTTCTAGTATAGAAAATCCCAAACATACAAAGGTAGAGAGGATACCAAACTAAACCCCAAATACCCAGCACCCACCAGCTTCAACAATTATCAACTCATGGCCACTCTTGTTTAACTTCTACCCCAAACAGGTCCTCTCCTCTCCCTCCATACTTACTACCTCCTCCATGTTTTTAAAGTAAACCCCCAAGATCGTCTATTTTCATTAGTGAATACTTCAATATAATTAGAGTAGTTTTTTTTTAATCCTGCCTTGTTTATGAATATTTTCTCCAAATGTTTTACTGGACATGCACACACAATATCATATATGTGTACTATTTATGTTAAAATGTATTTAGAAATTACACTTCACTCTAATTTTTCTTTTAGCTTCAATAACTATGTAAAAATAGCTCAACAAACAATATAGGACAACCTCCTCCCTCCACTTAGGAAAAAAGACTAGCTTTTTTCCCTCAAGTACCTTGGAATATAAGTATATCCATCCATACATATGGATATATATATACACATACACACACATTTCTGAAGTGGGTGGTATTACTCGGCTCTATCTAAGGGTACACATTCTAAACTCCAACATTTATGGGGCTCCATTAAGCCAGCATCTGCTCTAAATGAATGATTTAGGACAGCTGGTGCCACTTCCAGTTTTCCAGATCACACAAAGATTCCTGACGGTCTGTAAAGATGGGCTATTATTAGCTAGAGTTTTCTAAATATCACAAATATTTCATCTCCACATTTCTCTTCTATGTATGAAGAAGCTAAATGTCAACCTATGAACTATGAAAATAGTTTAATGTTCCTACATTATGTACAAGTATGCTGATAAAAACAAAAAAGGAGTAATATTTCACTGACTATAAACATTAAGCTCCCAAAAATAAGAGAAAATTTTATGAAAATAGGTTAACTTACTCTAGAAGTATGAGAATGTTTATGAGTTCCTCGCAAGATACTTTGTTCCAGTAAGTTAAGAGTATATCTGAAAATGGAATAAAGTGTTACAGCTTGAAATAGCAGAGAACTTATGAGCAAATATTAATAACATAGTGAATTCCAAAATACCAATAACTTTAGTTTCAATAGCCATCAGTTCAGTTCAGTTCATTTCAGTCGCTCAGTTGTGTCCAACTCTTTGCAACCCCATGAACTGCAGCATGCCAGGCCTCCCTGTCCATCATCAACTCCCGGAGTCCACCCAAACCCATGTCCATGTCCATCAGTGATACCATCCAACCATCTCACCCTCTGTCATTCCCTTCTCCTCCTGCCCTCAATCTTTCCCAGCATCAGGGTCTTTACAAATGAGTCACTTCTTTGCATTAGGTGGCCAAAGTATTGGAGGTTCAGTTTCAACATCAGTCCTTCCAACGAACACCCAGGACTGATCTTCTTTAGTATGGACTGGTTGGATCTCCTTGCAGTCTAAGGGACTCTCAAGAGTCTTCTCCAACACCACAGTTCAAAAGCATCAATTCTTTAATGTTCAGCTTTCTTTATAGTCCAACTCTCACATCCATACATGACCACTGGAAAAACCATAGTCTTGACTAGACAGACCTTTGTTGACAAACTAATGTCTCTGCTTTTTAACATGCTGTCTAGGTTGCTCATAACTTTTCTTCTAAGGAGCAAGCGTCTTTTAATTTCATGGCTGCAATCACCATCCACAGTGATTTTGGAGCCCAAAAAGATAAGTCAGCCACTGTTTCCCCATCTATTTGCCATGAAGTGATGGGATCAGATGCCATGATCTTAGTTTTCTGAATGTTGAGCTTTAAGCCAGCTTTTTCACTCTCCTCTTTCACTTTCATCAAGAGGCTCTTTAGTTCTTCTTCACTTTCTGCCATAAGGGTGGTGTCATCTGCTTATCTGAGGTTATTGATATTTCTCCCAGAAATCTTGATTCCAGCTTGTGCTTCTTCCAGCCCAGCTTTTCTCATGATGTACTCTGCATATAAGTTAAATAAACAAGGGTGACAATATACAGCCTTGATGTACTCCTTTTCCTATTTGGAACCAGTCTGTTGTTCCATGTCCAGTTCTAACTGTTGCTTCCTGACCTGCATACAGGTTTCTCAACTCATAGCCAATTCTATCTCATCTAAATGCCCAATAACCATACTACTTTCTTTAGAATTAATTCCAAATATACTGCTTAATCCATAATTATTTTCAACTTTAACGATTATTTTTATTTACTTTATATATGTTCTTTTTCATGGCTTATCATCCCTGAAGACAGAAGGGGAAGTAGACCTGGGTTTTTTTTAAAAACTTCCTAAAATTTTATGCAAAATTGTTCACTTATGTGGATTGTTCCGAAGGTAGGTCAAGCACCTTCGCCTGCTACTAAAAGGGCTCGGAGAACTCTTTCTCATTAGAGGAAGAGTGATAACTTTTTTTTCCCTCTCTGTCTTTGGATTATTAAACCTGAAGTCCTGGCAATATACAAACACATTCATGGAACAACTATTTTAGATATAAAATCCGCTAAACCTATTACATATACTTCTCTTTTGAACTGTTCTTTTTTTACTTCCAACACACTCACTGAAACTTTTTTAAAAGAAAAATATTACCCCCAAATAACCTTCCATTCCTTAGCCTATTCAGATATAGCTAACGGTGTCAGCAGTTTCACTTCTAAATTTTAAAAACCTAGTGGAAGTGTTAGTCACTCAGTTGTGTCTGACTGTTTGTGGCCCCATGGACTGTACCCCACTAGGCTCTTCTATCCATGGAATTCTCCAGGCAAGAATATTGGAGTGGGTTGCCATTTCCTTCTCCAGGGGATCTTCCCGATCCGGAGATTGAACCTGGCTCTCCTGTATTGTGGGCAGACTCTTCACTGACTGAGCCACCAGGAAAGATCTAGCATGCATCGCAACAGTAATCAGTTACAGAATTGCCAGTCTCCCGTGAGCCTCTAAATCTAGGAATGGACGACTAAACAATGTTGCCTAAACGGAGGGGTGATAGGGAGGAAAGAGTGCATGGCTTTTGACTTTATGTTGAATTTACTAATGACCATGGGTATTTGTGGTTTTCAATGATTATAAAATACTGTCAGGAATAAAGATGCTAAAATAGGGTCAAATTAATTTGTTTCAAAAATAAAGCAAGGGGTAAGTTGCAAGCCCACCCCACCCCCCCATTTTGGGACACACTTCAGCTCAGAGGGGCTTTCCCAGAAGTCACTGCATTTATGGTCCTCGGTCCAGCACAGGGTGGCTTGAAGGTGCCATCTTCCCTCCCATGTGCCTTCACTCTTCTCGGCAAAAGGAGGCTTGTGTCTCCATCCAGCCCCCAACCGCACTCTCCTGTCCACCCCGAGCCATCTTTGATCCATCCACTTGCCCGCTTGATCGCCCACCCAGTGCCCTGAGGCCGCTTCACAGGTCTGTAGAAGAGTATAAACTGTCATTCCTTCCGCGACCCTTCCGCCATTTTTTGGTGGTGCCTGTCTCCATTGTTTCCCAGTCCCAGTCAGAGAATCAAGATGAAGGCGGGGGACGTGGGTGAAGAAGACAGGGAAAGTGGGCAGAGCTCTTCCGAAGGAGATAAAATGCAGGTTAGCCTCTGTGATGTGTCTTCTGAGGAGTTTAAAAAAACCTGGCTAACACTAAAAGAGCTCCATGACAGAGAGCTGCGCCGACTTCAGGGGAAAATAACCAGTTTGAGGAAAGAGCGATTGTCAGACGGGAGGTGGACAGGCTCCACATGCAGAATTAAAGAGTTGACGGAGCAACGGAGAGCCCTGAAGGACACTATCCACGACCTGCGAGGTCAATTAAACACCAAAGTATGTGATCGCTGTACAGTAAACGAAACGTACAGGAATACGCTACAGCAAGAGTTTTATGATATCCAACAACAAAATCTTAAGTTTATTGGTGAGCTCACAGCAGAAAGGAATAAATTAAGAGAAGAAAACAAGCAGCTTTTGGCTAGGCTCAAGATGAAACAGCAAGAGTTTCGCCGTTCTTCTTCTGATAGTGATGACGACTTCGTCCCTGGGTCTCAAACGAGCGAGTCAGTTATTTCGACCAGGGACTCTCCGCCTGGACCTGAGAGTCATGTGGCTGTCAAGCTGATAACACAAACAAATACCAAACAGATGAAATCTAGAGGGAAAAAGAAACAGCCACACAGTTCCAAGTTTCAGGTTCCATTTTACAGTCAGGACGTCTTTGAGGTGCCAGAGAGCCCTCAGGAGATTTCCTCTAACAGAAGTAATCCTATTACAGTAAGGAGTGGCAGTCAGAAGTCAGCTAGCACTGTTGCTTCAGCATCTACAGCCGGCCCTCAAACAGTGTATGGATTTCCAGATGACTCCAGCCTTCCTGATGCCACGTTTGGCCATTCACAAAGCAAATCAGATTTCCCACAGAGGACCTCCTCACAGAGGATCTCCACACCAAAGCGTGGACCTGAGACTGATTTCCCTCGGAGCCTTTCCAGTATTTCTCCAGAAGAAGATGTACCTACTGAAATATTATCTGAAACTTCAGAGGAAAGTGTGATTGATTATAGCAAAAGCATTTTTGCTCCTTTTACACGGAGAGGCGAAGACACCACCACTTTACATCTATTTCCTTTAGACTATACTTCAAGATCCGAAGTGACAAGACCATCATTTGGTGTTTTTCAGGTTTCAGTGAGAGAGAGCAGTAGTGAGACACCTTGCAGTGAACAGTCCACAGCAAGGAAGAGTACTAATGGAGCTACAGGTGTAGCCCATGATGCTGGTAAGCCACAAGATGAGACTCAGCCTTGCACTTCAGGGTCTTCAATAGAGAAAAGTCAAGATACAGCTAGAAAAAGGGGGGAAGTAGCTTGCTTTCCATCTCTCTCTTAAGGAAACTGCTTTTCTTTCCCAAGAGGACAGTCTTCCTATCAATTCAGACTATTTAACATTTGTATTCAGACTATATAACTGAAAATTCCTGACTTTGATTCTACTTCCCAGAATATAATATACAGGCCATAAAAAGTTGGGCAAATGACTAAGACTTTGAAACAGTGACTTATTGCCAGTTAATAAAATTCAGCTACAAAGAAAGAAACTTAGTTTTCAGAATCCCTCTACTTCTATATAAGAGGTCTACCATCTTTTTGTTGAAATTAAGCTGCTAGTGTCTATGAGTCAGTGTGTGCCATGCTAAATTGGTTTAGTTGTGTCCTACTTTTTGGAACACCATGGACTGTAGCCTGCCAGGCTCCTCTGTCCGTGGGATTCTCTAGAAAAATACTGGAGTGGGTTGTCATGCCCTCCTCCTGGGGATCTTCCCATCCATGGAGTCTCTTAGACTCCCGCATTGGCAGGCAAGTTCTTTATTACTAGTGCCACCTGGGAAGCCCTTATGAGTCAATAAGAAGGCTTAAAAAAAAAGAAAGCCAAGAGAACACCTAAAAGGCTGGACTGTAACAGTTCAACCCTGAAATACATATAAAGTGAAATACTTACTGGACTTGACAAGGTAACTACAATACTGACACTGAGAAAGATTCAGAAGCAGATAGTTTTCAGAATAAAATGAGTATGAATTTACAGATACATACAGCATGACTTACAAAAGAGAAGATGTGACACAGACTGTATGCTAATTATTAAAATTTGCTTTTAAAAATCAAAAAGCGAGAGCAGAAGAAGGAAAAACCGTGGTGGTATTCAACTCCTTTTTTCTTTACAGTTTTTTTTTCCCATGTGTCCTTGGGCATGTAGATAAAACAAAGTTATTGAGTGAATTCGTGTGCCATAAAACTCACCCTTTTAAATAGAGTACAATACAGTAGTTTATACAGTATATTTGAAAACTTGTAAAACTATCACCACAGTTTTAGAATATTTTCATCACCCTTAAAAAAAGCCCATACATAATAGCAGTCACTTTCTACATTCCCCCACTTTTTAGCTTGTGGGGAGACAAAAACAATGAGCTGTGATTGTGGTTGTTAATTTGATTCAATATCTCTTGGAATGAAATACCACCAGGGTTGAAAATTATCTCCCTTTACATATTTCTTTCCCAAAATATGGAAGCTCATAACATAGCATCAATAATCTTTGACTTTTACTCTAAATCATACATTCTAAGTAGTTGAAGATTCTAGTTATTTAAAACTTTTGTCAATGTGTTTTAGAATTAACTATTCATATCTAGCTTTTGATGTGCTTCAGTCTCTCTGGCAAGTTAACTATCAACTTATTTTATGTGTCTGTATCCTGCATTGTTACAAAAATGTTTAAAATAATATTTACTAAAACTAAAATGGAAAAGAAGTAAAACTTACTGTATTATGATTTGACTTTTACTGTAAATCATACATTCTAAGTACTTGAAGATTCTAGTTATTTAAGACTTTTATTAATGTATTTTAGAATTCATATCTAACATTTGATGTGTTTCAATCTCTGGCAAGTTAACTGTCAACTTATTTTATGTTTTTATATCCTACATTGTTAGAAAAAATGTTTAATATTTACTAAAAACTAAATAGAAAATAAGTAAAATTTACTGTATTATGCTGATCAAAACCCAGGTGCTTTTATGTTCTTCATTGCTGTTTGCTTTTTTTTAAGTATTTATTTATTTATTATTTGGCTTCATGGGGGTCTTAGGTGCAGCATGTGGGATCTATTTCCCTGTCCAGAGATTGAACCCAGGACCTCTGCATTGTCAGTGCAGAGTCTTAGCCACAGGGAAGTTCCCAGGGATTTTGTTTGTTTTGTTTTGGGGGGTTATTTTTGTGTGGGTTTTTTTTTCTTTTTTAGCAAAAGTAGGAAAAGAAGAAAGGGGAAGGAATTGTGTTAACAAGTGTGGTACTGGGAATGAGTTAACCTTCTGATTGTACTTCCAGAGGACATGCAGTTTATGAAAACCCTTTGTTTGTATTCTATCATATATAGTAAAGAGGAAATGGTAAATTGTAAATAATACAATTATACATCAAGGTAAAGAGAACAGAGCCTGTAAAATAACCTGACACCATACAAAGCTGTATAATGGTCCTGTGAAGATAGCAACAGCATTCCTTAACTCAAAGAATCCTTCCTGTCTTTTTGTTTGCTTTTGATTTTGTAAATCCTGGGTCAAATAAAAGCTACAGTGTTAAATATGACTTTTGGTTATTGTTATTTTCTTCTGTTTACCTTGGTCATTTAATGTATTTTATTCTCTGCATGAAAAAATACTTTGGCACTTCTAAAACTATTGCCTGACTTTAGAAACTAATTTTTTGTCTTTTTTAAAAAAAATTTCCTGTTATTAAAAAATTTTGATAACCTTACTTCTTTTTACAAACCCTTGTGTCGAGGGCTGACTTTCAACAGATCGAAGCAAGAGAGCTGCTCTGCTACATGCAAAACCCCAACCCAGAAGCAGGTCATCTAGGAATGGTTTGGCACCAGGTTCCCCCAGGTTCCCCACAATTGAGTGGTACAGTGTTGGGCTAGGGGGCTGCTGCCTTTCTGGTCGCGCCCATGTTCCAAGATGAAGAGTTCTCTGTACTGGACCCGGTCCCAACATGCAGAGGGGCATGCCACACCATGCCCCAAAGGACTTGGGCAGTGGCCTCATGGTGGGGACGGTGGGGAACTGGCTATCTGAGGCCAACTGAGGCTCCTGTGGCACTGCCAGAAACTAATTTTTTAAATAAAATTATTTCAAAGGCTCAAATCTGTATGACAGAAATGAATCTATTTTAAGTTAAAATATAGGAACATTCTAAGGTCAAAGTCTACCAGTTACTCTCCCCATGCCCAACAAAACTCAGTGAGAGAGGAATGCTAAAACTTAAATCCTTGACACCTCCCTTCGCTTATCTAGCCTATGTAGTTTGCCCACTCCACTGATTAGCCACGCAGTTACTTAGATGCAGTCAGTCATGAAGTCAATCATGAATAGTCACTGGAAGGACTGATGCTAAAGCTGAAACTCCAGCACTTTGGCCACCTAATGCAAAGAAATGACTCATTGGAAAAGACGCTGATGCTGGGAAAAGTTGAACGCAGGAGGAGAAGGGGACGACAGAGGATGAGGTGGTTGGATGGCATCACCAACTCAATGGACGTGAGTTTGAGCAAGCTCCAGAAGATGATGATTGACAGGGAAGCCTGGCATGCTGCAGTCCTTGGGTGGCAAAGAGTCAGACACAACTGAACGACTGAACAACAACACTTAGTTGGGAAACTGCTTCTCAGATCTACTCTTCCCCCATCCTCACCCCCAGTGTTCTGTTCAGGTCCTATCGCTTCACTCTTTTAGGTCACGTCTGTGTGTGTGTGTGCTGTGTGCTAACTTGCTTCAGTCGTGTCTGACTCTGCAACCCACTGGATTGCAGCCTGCCAGGCTTCTCTGTTCATATGGATTCTCAGGCAAGGGTACTGGAGTGGGTTGCCATGCACTCCTTGAGGGGATCTTTCTGACCCAGGGATTGAACTCTCTTCTCCTGTGTCTCTTGCTTTGGCAGGCAGGTTCTTTACCACTAGCGACTCCTGGAAAGCCCTTGAGTACCCATAGCACTTGACAAATTTCCTCTACTGTAGCAAAAATAAAGAGGTTTGTGGGCATGTCCATTTCTCCCACTGGATTCAGGTTTCTTTCCGCCAGAGACTATTCAGGGTGATTCCAGGATTTCCACCTAGAAGGAGCTTAGGGCCTGCAATCTGATTGGAAAGGGCAACAACCAGGGGCTTCTGGGTTTATTTGTGATGTCTGGGAGGGATACACCATGTGGCACCACAGAGAATATAAAGATGGATGTAACCTGATCAGTCTGGGTTTAATTGACTCATAGGTTCTTTGCTCTTCAGCAAATGCTTTTCTTCTAGAAATTTTGTGGGGGTGCACTTAAGGTAGTGCTGTTTACACAAGAGGCTTGTGATGGGATCCTCTGAATTTAACCTAAGACAGAGTAGCAAGGTTCTGGGTAAGTCTCCATCAATGTCCTGAAACCCATTGACCTCTATGTCTTCACACTTGACAGTAGTGATTTAAATTGACTCTTTTTTTAAAAAAAATTTTTATTGGATTATAATTTACCATGCTGTCTTAGTTTCAGGTGTACAGCAAAGTGAATCAGTTATACATATATGCACTCTTTTTTAGCTTCTTTTCCCATATAGGCCATTACAGAGTATTGAGTAGAGTTCCGTGTACTATACAGTAGATCCTTATTAGTTGTCTATTTTATATACAGTAGTATATATTTGTCAATTCCAATTTTCAATTTTATCCCTCCCCTTACCTCCCAGTAACCATGTCTGTAACTCTTTGTTTTGTAGATAAATCAATTTGTAGCCTTTTATTTTTTATATTCCACATATAAGCAATATTATACGATATTTTCTTTTCTCTTTATGACTTCCTTCACTCTGTATGACAGTCTACAAGTCCATCCATGTCTCTGCAAATGGCACAAGTTCATTCCTTTTTATGGTTGAGTAATATTCCATTCTATACATGTGCCACATCTTCTTTATCCATTTCTCTGTTTATGGACATTTAGGTTGCTTCCATATCTTAGCTATTGTGAGTAGTGCTGCAATGAACACTGGGATGCATGTATCTTTTTGAATTATGGTTTTCTCCAGATATTTGCCCAGGAGTGGGATTGCTGGATCTCAGAAGCAATAAGGAGAATTTCATGAGCCAGGTGGTGACATACATAATAAAAGTGGTGTTTAGAAGATCTGGTGGTCTAAGATGAATCATCAAGACTTCCTTCATTCTTGCCTAGAGGGAAGAAGGCAGGGGAAGGATGATTTGAGGTTTTGGCAGTCAGGGACAGGGTCAGCCTCTAGGCAAAGTGCGGGCTCCACCATCAGATCCCA